ACAGTTAAGGTCCAGGCTGCGGTCATTCGAAGACCAAACCAACCAACCCCCTCAACACGCTATCCTGCTTCTTAGAACACTTTCAGAAAGCATAACTTCATAATGCAGACCCATGATTCATAAACCCCCTCCTTTGAAGGGCCTAAATATTAGGATCCACATCTTTAATGGGAGGGGCTTATTAATCATGGGTCGGGGTTATTCTTACTAACAATGACCCAGTATCTGCGACAGTCTCACAAGCGGCCCCGTAAACCCTACTGACCCTCAACCCTGAGCTGAGCCTCCCAAGGGTTGGCAGAAGTCCATGCCAGGATGAAGGACCTGGGCCGTTCGTTCGCATATGTGCTGCTGTACAGGGGGCTGCTGGGGAGCCCAAGCAATATGTAGAGATTATGCGGGAATCATGGCGGGCGCGTCGTAGGAAGAAATACCCACATGAGATTTCGATAAAGGCCAGGAATGTCCGGTTTAGGGTTTAGGGCTGTAGGTAGGTATACACCGGCACGACGGCATATCATGATTCAACAAAATAAGACTCTGTACATCCCCCTGTTCAACCCCCCATATACCCCCATGCCTCCATAATCGAAAGCCTGGGACTTCAAACCTTAAACCGTAAACCCTGAACATGCGAGTAAGAACCCCAAATCCAGGGCCCAGGGGCAAGTTCTCCGCACGCGCCAAGGAGTCGGCAAGGTGATGAAGTGGGGTGCCTTCACTTAGGGTTTAGGGTTTAGAGTTTAGGGTTTTGGTTGAAAACGAGACCCCTGATTTTGGGAAACCCCCACATGTTTTTGGCTGAGGGTTTTCACTCTGAAGTGAGTTTAGGGCCCTCCAAAGCTGGATATAGGCTATAGGGCTTACATCAGAAGACATCCTGCTCTTATTCCCCTAGGGTCTTCATCTTGGAGGTTGGGGCTACCTTCCATTCCATTTGATTCTCTATTATTGTCCCACTTGCCCAAAAAACCCTATATACCGCTGTACCCCTTGGTGACCTCATGTAACGCCCACATAATCATTCATTGGTAATTATTTGGTGGTCATATTCTCCAATTCAAAGTTTCTGCCTCCTGAGGCCGCCAGATCACTACACTGCAAGGGAGTTTCTCAAAAAGCACGGCCCTAGGAACTCCAACTGATGCATATGGATCATGGGGAGATCATGGGGGTCCCTTCAGGTGATTGTTTCAAGACTGCTTTGGAAATACCAATATGGGCGTCTCTAAACGAAGGAGATTCATAGGGACCATCAGAATATGTCCGAACTAGAACTCCGTGAAGGATCCTATATGACTTGTTTGAAGGCTCCCGTAGTATGATCACTTTTTTCGGATTCTCAGTCTACTAGCATTGGTTGGATGGCCGCGCCCGAAGAAGACTCTCAGTCTTGAAGACATGCGATCCGGAAACAACCCCAAGAACTGCGCAAAAGACCCTATGATCCACAGAATCCCTACATATCCCCACGTAAAGTTTGAGGGTACTTAGAACCCATTTGAAACAGGAACTTGTAGCCCAATTATAGCCATATTAGGGAACCAAGGGGGCTTAGAATTGGGTTATAAATACAACAAAAAGTTGGTATGAATAGAGTCCCCCTTGAGTAGATAGAATATGGGGTATACGGGGATCCTATTATAATATACCCAAAGACATATTCTATCTACTTAAGGGGGACTATAACCCTAAATCTCCAAGTAGGCTCTCCGAGGTTACACGCTTCTGGAAGAACCTCTCCGGTCAGCTGAGCTACAGTCAATACTTCCCCTATGCCCACCCGTACTGTAAGGCCAATTTTGGCAGTAGCCCATATAAGCTCAAATACCCCACATACTCAAAAACCCAACTCCCTTCTTACTTTCCCTTTTCTTTCCTGTTTGATTCTTCCATTGGAACAGTTTCCACGTTCTTTTCCATTCCCTTATGTTGCCTAAACCCCGCACCCCAAAGCCTAAACCCTAAACCCTAAAGCCCAAACCCTAAACCCTAAACACCCCAAAGCCTAAACTGTGTAGCTGAGCTGAAGGTGCCTGCATGCGTGTGGAGGAGGTCCAGAAGGTAGATGTCTGGGCGGCCCATGCCATCCTAAGATGCAGGTTTGGGTTTAGGATTTAGGGTTTAGGATTTAGGGTTTAGGGTTTAGGGTTTAGGGTTTGGGTTTAGGATTTAGGGTTTGGTGGGACTGGACCTAGAGGGGGCTATATAGATATATATAAGGATGTATAGGAGTATATAGGCATATATGGGGTTATTAAGAAGTTTAGAGGGATAGAAAATGCTGTGTAGGGCTATATCGGGTGATGTATGGGTATTGCACTACCCATGGATTTTATCTTATTGGCCCTCGATGGGATAGCAAATGTATTCACTTGCCAATAATGTATACAGCACTCACCAAGAAACCAGAATACGAATGCTACCCGTTGGTGTGTCTCAGAATGGGGTGAGGAGTCTATACAAACATTGCCAAAAGGATTGTAGCACAGGGGTGCTGTGGGTGTTTCGGGCGTGGGGTTGAAATACGATCCCTTATTGGTGGGTTCCTAGTCATAGAAATGAACATAACGTAGACATACGATTTAAGGCTTAGGGAACCCTTTCTGAAGAAATATCCATCTGAACCAACTGAATGCTTGGAGTGGATTTCCTACGGTCTTATTTATATCTTTTACATGTCGTATGCGCCGTGTACATTGGGCAAATGGGTGAAACATGAAGCCTCAATGCTGCAGGAAAATGTCACAAACTTTAAGTCTAGGTCTCCAACTTACCTGCTAGGCCAACACTGTTGCGGCATGCTTGGTCTAGCTGCTGTTTGCGGGCTAGCGCTGGGGCATGCAAGTAAAATACAACAAATGATCATACAAGCCTTATGTACGTAGTCGTGTACACGAGAAAGAAGAAGGATGGTGGGGCCGGGAGCAGGACAATTTCCCTGTTCTGGGCTTAGTGCGCCCAGGGCTTCTGGCTTGGGGTTCAGACCCTCAATTCAAAACCCTAAACCCTGTGAGTCTTCGTTTTGAAACTGGAACAACCTTGCAAACGCCTTACACAGCATGTCCCAGCATCGCGAAAGCGCTTGATGACCACGGCGCCCCAGCCCCGCATGGTGGTGCCTGGCCGGGGTCGCAATGTGGAGAAGCAAGTGAAAATCAAATTGAATTTGGTGGTTTACAGATATTTGGCTGTAGGAATGGAGAATAAAATGGAAGCTACTAATCTAGAATCCTAAGCTCTAAACCTTAAACCGTTTCCCTCGCGCGCTTCTATAGGACTTAGGTTTATGGGGAACCACACAGAAAAGAAAAGCGGAAATGAAATGGAAAGTGGGTCTCTACAGTGCTATAAAAGGATTGTACGTGGGACCTATTTCACACAGACACAATAATTATGGGCCTGCCTAATTAGTATAATCCTAATTTGGGGGGTGGGCCCTAATTTTGGGCAACCACATATATGATGGTACCATAATATTTGGAGGCTGTAGGGATTCAATCCGCCGCTCTCAGGACCGGACAATCACCCTCAACCCTACACCCCAAGCCACTACATAAACACTAAACCTTGGATTATTTCCCCTTACTGAAAGAAGTACCATAGTGGGAAATTAGGAGTTATGTTAGCCCCTGCATCAGAACCCTTTAAGGACAGCTACTGTAAGGCAAGGGGGAGTGACCCAGACTAAACCTTAAACCCTCAACCCTAAGCGAGCTTCAGAACCACACCAGGGTAGCAGAAATTAGGGTTTAGGGTTTTGGGTCACACCCTAAACTCTAAACACTCCAGAAGTTCCTGTGACGCCAACTACAGTACCTACAATCTAGTTGGAAATACCTCCCAATTTGTAGGCATGACCCATAAAAAACTAAAAGCAATTGGGGTTGTAGGTACCCACCATAATATCTGAGATAATTGCTTCCATTTCGTTGTTCATGCTCTTCTCTGTTGGATCCTCCATTATCCAGGTAATATCCAATATGATAATCCCATAAACACCTATGCGGTAATTGATCGAAATGAGCATTCTAAGAAAAAAACATTTGGCAATTTCCACACTAGGGAAATCCCGATACAGACCCCAAAATACCCTAAACATCCCTAAACCTTGTTATAGGCTGTTATAGGAAGGCCCCAGACAGGGACCGCTGGGTTGGGAAATCCCCATCTACACCTTATAGACTTATAGAACCCAAACCTTGCGTTGTTCCCTACACCCTAAAGCCCTAAACCCCAAACCTTCAGCCCTAAACCCTATAAACCCCAAAGGCCAAGAATAAACCCTGAACCCCAAAGCCCTAAACCATAAATAGTAGTTTCCATTTTCTTTTCCACTATCCCGCCTAAAACACCCTATATCACAGTACATTATCCCAATATTAAGCCCTAAACCATGTTTTCGGCGGATCAGTTTCGAGCTCCTCAGATGCAGCTCAGATGCATAGGATCTTCTTGATACGTACCTAGGATCCGATTCAAGGGTTTAGCGTTAGGGTTTAGGATTTAGGGTTTAGTGTTTAGGGTTTAAGGTTTAGGGTTTAAGGTTTAGGGGTTTAGGGTTTAGGCTTTAGGCTATCCAGTTAAGGGTGTAGGGCTTGCCTAGGAAGATAAAGAGACACCTGTTGGGCATAATCCTACACCCTAAACCCTAAACACCCCATTATACTATAGTAGTTTCCATTTTCTTTTCCATTCTCCCCAATATAGACCCCAATATACAATAGTAGTTTCCATTTCATTTTCCATTATACCCTATATAACCCCATTATACTAAAGGGACCAAGGATCCCGAAAAAAGGTGGAAAAGGGGGCCTACTTTGCAGATCCAAGGTACAAGCTTGACGATCAAAATGTGGTCCACCTTCTTGTTGCTGGCATCCGACTCTAGCAAGTCCTTGGCTTTTTCAAAAGGGTGGAGGATAATGTGCCATTCTTTCCCTCTTCATAGTGTCCTAACAGCTTGCTAGAGGACAGGAAAAAACCTCTTCTCAGAAAAGCTAGGTATCCTCCTCCTCATGGTCTGAAGGCCAGCGGCCCTTCGCCGGGTATCCTCGGATCACGCGGTGTGGGGGAGCGTTCTCCTGGTAGAAGTTGTAATCCTCGAGCAAGGCCTCTGGCAACAGACCTGAAAGCACACGGCCTGGTAGGAATTGCTCACCCACCTCCATCATGCGCTCAAAGGGAGACTTCTCAGTGATCATGCGATCGTGGAAGATCTCCACATCTTTCACACTGCCAGCCCGACAATCAAAGCCGATGTGGTCGACGACCTCCGCCGAGCGATCAGGGAAATCGAAATCTGCCACTCGCTCGCCGTTGATGGTAATCTCGAAGCCCTCATCGCTCTTCTCAAAAGAGATGTTGAAGGTGTCATTCTCAGTGGCTAGCGGGCACCCACCCGTGCGAACCTCACTGCCCTTGGAGCCATCGATGATGGAGTTCCGCAGGATGCACTTGCGCTGCGTGCAAGGCGCGAAAGAGAAGACGCAGTCGGCACCCGCGTAGAAGCAGAAGCGCCAGTCAATTCCGTCCTTTCGGCTGTAGCCATTGCCCTTGATCTGCAACCGGTCGCCCTCCTGGAACCTCATAGGCACACGTCTGGAGAGGTTGCGCTGACAGGGCTCGCAAAGGTCATAATCGCAGTCGCGGCATCGGTAAGCAGTTCCGCTGCAGCCACAGAAGTTGCAGCGGTTGCTCTTCTTCTTCTCCGGTTGCAACTCATGGTTCTCGCGGCAGTACACAGGCTGGGGTTCGGCGGCGATACTGCGCATTTGCTTGCGCCTCCGCTGAACGCCATCTTCCTCCAGCTCCTCCTCGTCCTCCTTGACGGCACTCCCCGCAGCACGCTCAGCCCCAGAGTCCAACTCGTCCCAGTCCTCGGGATCGTCCATGGGATCCTTGTCACCCTCGACCTCACCGCCAAAGCCATGAAGACCCTTGACGGCTGTGCGCGAAACCGTGGTGCTGTTCTCGTGGTTGTTCAGGTCGCAGCTGGAGCCACCAGCCGCATACCTAGCCCAGACAGGCCAAGGCTCCTCACGGCCGTCCAGTGCTGGCTGAAGCTCGTGCATACAAAGCCGGGCATTGCTCGTGTACTCCAGCTGCCTGTACAGCTGATGACCATAAGACTTGATTCCGTAGATGTGGATCATGCGCCGCTCTTTGAACAGGTGAACTTCCTTCCAGATACGGGCCTTCGCATCTTGATGCACTCCCATGAGGCACACCACGGTCGCATCGGGCGACACGGGCTCGTCCTTCATGAAGAAGAGAGGCGGCCGCTTCGGCGGGGGCGGGATGAAGAACATGCGGCGCACGGGCTCGAAGAGCTCGGCAATCCAAAACTCGTCCTCCTCCAAGTCCTCCACATCGTAAAGGCGGTCCCAGTCATCAAGGAAGGGCAGGAAACTTGCAGGCTTCGCAGCCTGCACTTCAACAGCTATTCGACAACATGTAAGATGATCCATGTAGGGAGCACTAGCAACAAGATTTCTGAAACAGGATACCACTCAGCTACCTAGAAGCCCAGTGCGTAGCCCGGAAGGGAATGCTGAGCAGCTCCCGCACCGTGGCATTGGTGGATGTCAACAAAGCGGAGCATTGGACGGTGGTCTTCTGCATGGCCCCTTTCCTGGGTTGCTGTTAAGGACCTTAAATTAAGCTACCATAATGGTTATATATAGGGATAATGGAAAAGAAAATGGAAACTACTATAATGGGGTTATGTAGGGTTCAGGGTTTAGGGTTTAAGCTACCATAATGGGTATATATAGTAAATAATGGGGTTTCCCCAAATATAGTAACTTAATTTAAGTTCCTTAACAGCAACCCAGTTTCTCCCCAAGCTCCGACACAAAGACGTGCTTGAAGTCCGCATCCTGCACCAAGGTTGAATTGCATTCTGGGTGAATGGGCCTGTGTGAATTACCGCAAGACGCCTGCCCAATTTGTCCGTCTATGTGTTTGGGAACTCCGCTTGCCTGTGCTGTTCTGTGCTGTTCACAAACGCGGGTTCAGCAGTGCTTGCTTATAGCCTGGAAGCTGTGAAACCTCCCCTGCAGGACTACATCATAGGGTCTGAAGCAAAGCTCTGGGTGAAAACCCTTGACCTGAGGTCCCTGAAGCCTAGGTCCCTAAACCTTTGGGTCCTGCCAGATAAAGTCTTCCAAAGGCACAAGGGTGCGACCTCGGACCGTGACCTGGAGAAGCTGGACATTCAGCTCGATCCAGAAAGCATCGGAGGCATTCACAGTCTTCACCTTACTGCCCCAACGTTCCGGCAACTTAGGACAAAAGTTGAAAGATGCTGAATTGTCATGAAACAGGCAGAGATGAGAAGAGCATTGGATGGTTAGGGAAGCAAGGCACACCCCCAGTGGCTCCGCCCTGAGCCTCTTTGTCCGGAGCCGCCTCGCTGAGGACACCGAAGCGGCCCTCGTACTCCGTGTCGTCGCCTACGCAGACCCACTCGAAGCCCGAGGTGTCTGGGGCGCTGGTGTCACCCAGTGCAGAGAGCTGCTGGTGGCAGCCCCGCAACACGGAGTTGAAGCCGGTCAAGGAATTAAGGCGCCGCTGCTCCACCAGCCAGCGCACGATGTAGCGCCGGTGGAGCTGCAGTGTCTCAAAGAGCTCTGTCTCCGGAACCTCCAGGCGCTCTTGGTTGAAGGTGTGGTGGGAGGACAGGTAGGTCAATGAGGACAACAGCCGCTTCACCCGATCCGAATCGAAGTCGCTCTGCGGCACGTTGCGGAGCACCAGAACCTGATTAGGTCTCAAAGAGCGACCCAATTTCCTGCCATACCCCCAATGTGCTGAGAGCCTTCCAAATGAGGAACCCCAAAGGGGGGGTTTCCCAGAATTAGGAGTATGATTTTAGAGGGTCCCTGTACAAAGGACCAAAGAAACTGCCATATGAAAAACTATACAACCCCAATATTATGATAGTTTCCATCTTATCTTCCGTTGTCCCAATATGAAACCAGTATACCTTATTGGGGTCCCCTCATTCTGGGAGACTACCAAATTTGATCCACCATGACCTGGTGGGCGTGGAGCCTGCAGGCGAGCTGGTTGCATTCATCTTCTCGGCTGGGCTCCTGCGAGGGTTTAGGGTTTGGGTTTTAGGGTTAAGGGTTTAGGGTTTAGGGTTTGGGTTTTAGGGTTTGGGGTTTAGGGTTTAGCATATCTCCCCTCTGCAAGAAACCCCCCACAGGAGTTTAGCCCCAACAAGCCCAAGGTTTTGCCCCAATAAGCCTAAGGAAGTGAGGGAAATGCCCAGATTACTTACTAGGGGTTAGTAGGGAATAGAGGACTGTATCATATAGCGCTGAAATCAGGATAGTATCCCCTTCTTCTGTACGAACCCCCAGTAGGATCATTTTTCCTCACTCTGCTCCTGCTGAGCCGACTCTGCGAGCTCTTCCAGCCACCTGTCGAACCATGGGAGGACCTCGCCCTCAAAGGTGCTCCGCAGCAGGCTGCGGCCACGGCGTAGCTCCTACAGAAGCGGGGCCATCACCATTGCATCATAATTACATGAACTGTTCTCAAAATTATGGGCCCCTGTTGGGTATAGATATTACGGCACCTAATATTTAGGGGTACCAAAATGGGATCCTAGTTTGGGCAACTACCCACATGCTTTGACAGGGGTATGGTAGGACTGTGGTGTGGAGCAGCTCTGATACTATCTGGGAGGAGAAATCATCTACGTAAGCCATCGCGGTCATACTTGCTCACAAATCTCGGCTTCCTCAAAAAACTTAGCAATCTTCCCGCTGGTATTCTTCTCCATGCCTTGGTTCTATGGGATTCTACGAGGTGATGTAGGAGAACATGGGGCTCATATACCGATCATGACTCCTCCAGAACCCCTGGCGTCGTTGTCAGCCGTGGCCATGCTCGTGCCACCTTCGGGAATCAAAACAAGACTTCTCTGCAAGGCCTTAGGGTTCAGGGTTTAGGGCTTCTGGTTTGGGGTTTCGGGTGGCATCCCTGTAGGACATACGACATTCCCCTAAATGTACCTTGTAGACTTTTCTACCATGTCTTCTAGGAGTGGCCATTTGGTAGAGATACCCCTGGAATACTCCAGCTAAACTCCAATCAAACGCCGCAGAAAAACACAGGCATAATATGATGCTGGCGCCCCAATGACCTTGCCCTCGGCATGCTCCATGAGCAGCGCTGCTGCAGATTCCACACGCACAGCCAAACGCACCTCATCCGGCACAGTGGCTTTCAGAGATACATTCCGGTCATATAACGGCACCCCGGCTTGTATAATAACCCGAGATGCCATACTCGCAGCAATACATACCGGGAGAAGAAACTATAAACGACATCTAGAAAGATTTCCATTCAGCATCTGATAGTTCAATGCGTTTGTACACAGAGGGCGTCAGGAAACCCTCCATACTCTGGCATGCCGAATCATGCAGTAGAGAACCCTGAACCTTGAAAGCAAGGAAAGGGGTTACTCTACTCCACCATTCCTGAAGATCATGTCTCCATGATATTAACTTCTTAAAAGTCTACAGAGGTTTAGGGTTAGGGTCACAGGGGTTTAGGGTTTAGGGGTTTAGGGTTTAGGGTTTAGGGTAACGGGGGTTCACATGTGAGGAAGCTTCAGGAAGGGACGGCCAAAACAATGCCCAGGGCCCTCTCTCCGTCAATTAAGACAATCACAAGCATGTCATTACTATTGCTTGAAGCTAGGTGATACCCATATGATCCAAAGTCTAAACTCCGAGTATCCCCCTTAATATCCCTTATAGTAGTTCCCTATTGATCCCCAAAATAAGCGCCTTTTGAAAAGTTTTCGCTGTAGCTCATATGATCCCCATCAAGGCCCGCAAAATTTCCCACATTGCATGCCAGGCGGCCAAGAAAATACTCGGGGCCTTGAACCTAGAACCAAATCCCCTGCCCCTGTTCTAAAACAGCTCCGCGCCCATCTCCTTAATGAATAGTTCCCCTGGCAGCATTGCGCTTCGTAAGATAGTATAGGAGGGCGGGACCTTTTTTTACGAGCGCACCAGACAAAACGAAGTCTGAACCTTGGGTACTGCCCCCACCCAGTAACAACCTATATTAGGGGTCCTATTGAGGGCAATATATAACTATAGTATAATTATTATCTAACTGATACTGAGGGGGGGCAGTACCCAATCTGAACCCTAAATTCGAGGTCCTGCCCCTCTCTGGCGGCCCTTCTGGGGAGCGCCTCCCACAAGTACTACACTCCCGGAAACTAACATGAAAACCCAAAAAAGACCCTATAAAGACTACAGTCTTCTAAAAGGGGACTATATGGGTGTCCATGCTAGTTTGGGGGAGTGTAACTAGCTTTCCAGGCAGAAGGAAGAACCCTGTCTCGCTGGCAACGTGCGATCACCGATGTACCCAAATCATGGCCCAAGCACTCCTACTTAGTGCTAAAGCCCCAAACCCCAAAAACCAAACTACCATGCCCCTTAAACCCCTAGAACGCAAGATAACCCGATATCCTTACATAAACCTATATGACTATAACCCCGTATGACCCAATATGAACCCATATAATACCCCCTGGTTTCCCTACAAACCCCAAACCCTGAGCCCTAAACCCTATATCCCTTTCCCTACTAACCCTAAACCCTATATCCCCTAATTCCCTCCTAGCCCTCAGTAAGGCCTGAACCCTAAACCCTAATCCCTAAACCCTGATCCCGGGCACAGAGAAAAGGATGGCGGGAACCGTCTCGGAGGTGACGGAGGTGGCCAGGCTCAGAGTAAGCGCCATGAGCTTTCCCACAGCCGTCAGAATGACCTCTTACTATACGGGCCTAAATATTTACCGATATCATGTTGAGGTCCGTTTGAGGTAACATATACTATAATTGCACAAGGAATATGAAACCATAATATTGGTAATTGTTTAGGCCCCTACAGTACAGCTGTGACGTATGGGTCATGTAGGGGTATCATAGGGGCTATATAGGGTTTAGGCATGTAGGGATTATCTAGTGTAGGGGTCATATAGGGTTGTATAGGAGTCATGTAGAGTTATGCAAGGGTCATGTAAGGGTATTATGGGGGCTATGTAGGGTTTAGGGATGTAGGGGTTATATGTGTAGGGATCATATAGCATTGCATAGGAGTAATGTAGAGTTATGTAAGGGTCATGTAGGGGTATTATAAGGGCTATCATGTAGGGTTATGTAGTCACGTAGAGTTATATAGGGGTCATATGGGGTTATGTAGGGGTCACATAAGGTCACAGGGTCATAGGGGTCATATAGGGTTGCATAGGGGCCATATTGCGTTATATAAGGGCATATCTGGCGATATCGGGAGAGTGGCAAATTGGGGAGTACGTCAAAGCACCCTATTTTCAAGGGGACCCCACAAGGGACCACGGTGGGGTTGGGGTTTCGGTTAAGGGCTCAGGTAACCATCACAATTGCGTGGAGATCTATATGGATTACAGGGTTTGTGGCTTGTGAACCGATGGTGTGGAATCAGTTTGAGATTCAAATAGGTGTTCCAAGCTTTCAACTGATCGTAGAATATCGTAAAAGAAGGATGCTTCATACGGCTTTGTTGGGATTTGAAGGGGAATAGGCGCGAGGATGGTGAGGGGGAGCATGAAGGGGTCTGTACTAGGGCGGGTCTCCGAGCCCTTACCGAGATTGCTCAGTTTGTTGAGATCATGGAAGCGCACGAAACCCTACAAACACCTCGAGACCTATGTACAAACTTCTGCACGTATGGGGTGCATCTAGCGACATACCGCGAAATCTCACAGTTCAATCTCACTTTTCCAACACGACAGCAAATTGCACTAAACAAAGAGATCTCAAGAGCCTTCCAGGTCAGGAAATGGTGGCAGTACATGCCCCAAAATCCCAACTTTCGGAAGCCTACCGGTGATTCGAAACGCAATTCTCTCCTCCAGATACAAGAAACTCCGGTAATTCTGGCGGTTTCCAGGACTAGGGCTCCAGAATAATAACCGAATTAAGGTTTGTATCAAATAGCGCTACGAGGACGAAGGGGCCATACTTGACAATCTAGCAACCCTCGAATTCTGAGGTTCCCAAAGCTTGCCTTTGATTAGCTAGGCATGAAGGAATGGATCCTTATACTAGTCCCTATATAACCCATCATAGTAGTTTCCATGTTCTTTTCCATTCCTTCATTCCCAGCTAACCAAGGGCCAGAAAACCGAGCCATACTGCCGGCAACTACCCGCAGAGGATACTATGGAAGTTTCCATTTTCTTTTCCACTATCCCAATATAATCCCAATATATACTATAGTCGTTTCCATTTAAGTTTTCTTTTCCATTATCCCAATATATACTAAAGTAGCTTCCAATATATGACCTTGGAATTTGTCCAAGCCACAGTGGGTCCGTGCGACAGCTCAGTGAGGATCTGGCTGAAAGGCGAGGCAACGAGATGCTCCTGGGGGTAATATTGGGATAGTATTGGTGTAATATTGGGGTTATATTGGGGCTATTACTATATTGGGATAATATTGGGTTATTGGGGTAATATTGGGGTGATATTATGGTTATATTAGGGTTATATTGGGGTTACATTGGGGAAATATTTGGATAATATTGGTGTATTATTGAGATAATATTTGGGTTCTATTGGCGTAATATCAGGGTAACATTGGGGTTATAGTGGGGTTATATTGGGGTTATATTGTGGATAATGGAAAATAGAATAGAAACTACTGTTTAGGGTTTAGAGTATGAGGAAAAGGTGTAGGATGTAGGGGTTTAAGGTTGGTTCAGGGTTTAGGTTGTATCAGGGAGCATTGCTTCGAGCTTTGTTAAATAGCGTTCTGTCATATTGGGGGTTAGAGGGTCTGGGGCTTGCTCAAGAAGGGATGCCGCTTATGAATTTGGAGATGTATTATTGTGATTTGGTTACCTTATTGGGATCATGTAGGGAGTGTTTGTGGTATAGGGTATGCTGTGGAAATTCGTTCAGGCTCAGGCTTTCAATTGCATTGGACAAAGGTTGTATTGCGGTTTAGGGTGTAGGGCTTAGAGTCATTCCTGGACGTGATAGGGAGACGCGGTGTCTAGACATCTTACGAA